GGTACGAATAAAACCAGAACAAAGATCCTTTCCTTTTTTTTTCAATTTTTAAATTTACAAACTTGGAAATGGTCAACCCTCACAAGCACTTGTTCTACTTGCATTTTCTAGTCCAAACCCAAAACTTTTTATTTCAATAATCATCTCATAATCATATATGCTTTTTTTTATTATTGTTTTCTTGGTTAGATGCACTCTTACTTTTCTTCTCTAGACTTTTGAAATTGACATAAATAAATAAAATTATACTAATAATTACATGTTGGTTTCAAAGAAATGAATTTTGATTTGGTCATTGTTTGTTTTGTTATTGCCTATTGATAAATGAAGACTATGTGTGAGTCGTGATTGATATGTACGTGACCCACCTACTCTCTCACTAAACAATTAGAAACGAGCTGACTCAATAACAAAAACAAAGATTAATTAATCAAGGTAGTGGTGGAATCACGATTTTGTCAATTGCCCTTTTGTGCCTCAATTACTCACCTTACCTCACGTGTGCTAAAATGTCTTTGTTAACCAATAATAATCATCATTCAACAACAACAACAAAATCGTTGAGCATCGCTTGGAATAATATTGGATTTCACTCTAAAGATGATATATGTTTTCACAAGCATCATCTGGTAATTATACGCTTTTAATTATAAAAATATCTATTTTTCACAATTTTTGTTGGATTAGTTTGAGTTTCAATTCAATTCTTCTAAACGCAAAATCGAAAAATAATAGAGAGTATATTTGTAGGGTACAAGATTCGGCCATTGGGAAGGAGATGAAATTAGTCTTTCAATTATGAATGGAATTTTCTTCAAAACAAAAATTATGAATGGAATATAGAAGCATTTATAGTCCAAAGAGGATTCCTCCCAAAATATGGGATTACATATCGTCGTAAACTACATGGTTCACGAACTTGATGGGGCTGGTGCAAGCAAAATGTGCTTTAAGATACTTCTTGGTTGCATGAATAAATGGTCTCTTTCTAGCTCATAGCATGTTTCACAAGCCAAAATATCACTTGTTTGTTATCTTCCTCAAAAACAGAATACAATGGTCCTAGTCTCATGAGAATACTAATGTGGTCCTCGTCTTTGTATTTTGCTTTTGGTGCGATACAATTTCAGTAAACAATAAGAGTACCAACATGATTTGATCACTTGTAGAACTGCTCAGATGTTTTCAAGAAGGTTTTTTTTTTCATCAGATTAACATAATAAAGAGAACGTCTATAGGAAGACAAAGAAGCCAAAGGACACTATTCTCTCCCCATCTCCTAAAGATCCATAAAAACCAAAAAGCATACCCAAAAAAAAAAAAAAAGAGTTCCATTTTTCCTTTATCCTCAAAACTTCACCAACATGTCTGCCTGTCTCTCTAATGGGGTCCCTTTTAACAAATCAACAATAAAAAAAAAAAACAACATTAGAAGAATAAACATATCATCTAGAGCTCGTCGTGAGACTCATCTTCCTCCTCAGTCGCTGATTCTCCTCCTGCTCCGGGTGCCCCACCGGACCTCTGATAAACGGCCGTGATGATTGGATTACACACCGCCTCGACTTCCTTTAGCTTCTCTTCGTAATCTTCTTTCTCTGAGTTCTGGTTCTCGTCGAGCCACTCCAAGGCCTCTTTGGTCGCTGCTTCGATCTTTTCCTTCTCGTCACCCTCCAGCTTGTCAGCAAGCTTGTCCTTGTCGCTTACTTGGTTCTTCATGTTGTACACGTATGTCTCTAAGCTGTTCCTTGCGTCAA